TAAACAGGAGGTCGGCTAACTTATTCTCTCGATAATGGGACATTGATAGACTTCTAATTCGGGGAGGGTATAGAGTTAATGAAATAAGATGGATTATATGTCGAGTTGTAATTGTGACGTCAGTAGAAACAAAAAATGAGGGAGAGAAGAAGAAGAAGAAGAAGAAGTTAGAGAAAGCAAGAAAGATAACTGCATGCGCTTGCTTCGCTTATCAATGGCACTTAAGCGTACAAGTTAATAAAGGAAAAGAAACTATTAATATTTTTCTCTCATATAACTCTGCAAACGTTTGTATTATATACAAGTATCAATTAAATACATTCTTATCTGTATAATCGCATACGTCGGTGCATATGGAATTTTAGAACACACACATTTAGAGTCGTTTTTTTTCTTTTCACATTTTATATATATATATATATATATATATATATATATATATATATATATATACACACACACATATATATACATATATGGGTACAAAGTGGAAAAAGTTAACTTTTGACGCGTTTCGTCTTTAAGGACTTCATCAGGTTAAATTTGTTATGTTAGTAGGGCTATACGTCGACACGCCGGAGGAGTAATGGGAATTTTAGAATTTTTTTTTATCGAGCAGAATTCATTTAGAGTCGTCTAAAATTTTTTTTTTCTTTTCATCATTTTTCTAAGCAAATTCCAACTCCCTGTATATCATCTAACAGAAACATATTTTAATAAAATATTTTAACATTAGAAGTAATCCAAATCCTAAGGAAAACCTGACAATGAAATCATGGCTTTATAAAAATATATATCGTTATCTCATATATATATATATATATATTTATACATACTACGTTTCATTAAATAATATATATACAACGTGAAGTGTTGTCTATTTATTTTATGTAAAATTTGTTCGATTTTAAAAAACATCTGATAAGTTTGATAACATTATCATTAAACGAAGAAAGAAATTCACAATGTTGATCCATATTTTTAATATAATCTAAGCTTTCAAGAGCGAATGCCCATTTACTACAAAATAGCAATTATCAAAGATGTAAATCACAAACATATTAAACAATATCCGGATACGACAGTGATGATAGTCTGTCATTGATTTTATTAATAGTTGATCTAATTATAAACAAGATGAAAAACAACGATAAACACAGATCCCTAGCAAAAAAATTAAATTAATCATATACTACTAAATCTATCCAACTTAATACTTGCAACGATTCCCCGGTTAAAGGATTTGCAAAAACCAACATAGTTTATAAATAAGTGCCCTTTTGGGAGAGTGAAAACGCTTGACACTACATTTTAATGAAAAAACTCTAACACCGCATCTCACTTCGACATGAAAACAATAGACAAAAAACTAAAAAACAAAACTGATAAATACATTAACCTTTCCAACTATGTAAACAAAACTAACTTTTGATAAGCACCAAAAGAATTATATTAAAAATATAAATATTGGACCCAGATAACTGCCATATATACCGTAAGTACAATCGATATTTTTAAAAAATAGAAATTGAGTTCCAGTTTTTCCCTATACCACAAAACATCGTTAAACTCCAGGATGAACAACATCTTCTTTATTTAGAAACTACACCAGAATATATATATATATATATATATAAAGACTTACTTAAGGCCGATGCATTCAAGGATCACATTTTTCATTTCATGATAGAAGCAGAAACTTATATATGAAAATCATTTTTTTCATTTTCATTTCAAAGTTTTTTGGAATTTCTTTTTCATTTATTTTCTAAAACAACTGAAAATCTGCACGCACAAGAACATACGGATTACTAAATTTATAAACTATATATATGATTAAAAGAAGAGGAAACTGCAAATTTTAAAACATAAAAAAGCTGATAAGACCAACATTTTACATGTCATCCTGTATATATATATATAAATATATTATATTACTACTCCATCCAAAAAACTAGATTTTATAGTTTATGTGGAGAGACTGTTTAATCTAGTAATCGATTTTTGAACAATACTCCATGATATATATATAAAAAAGCGTGTAAACATAAAGTTTAAAAACTAATTAATAATAATAAGAACCCGATTAAATTTAATTATGAATAAAAAACCAACTGAAAAAAATCAAAGCTTAATAAACTTATTAATGCTAAAAATGCGGATTGAACAGAACTCTTTAAAACTCCCTAAAATTGTTGTCAGTAATCTTTTATATATATATATAATATATTTATATATATATATATATATATTGCTTGATTATAGACCTGGCTACATATATGGCACTTCCCCACCCGCATATTATTTTCAGTGGCACCGGTCAGGGTCTTGGAAATTTTTACAGTAACTGTTTAATATCAATATATATAGCATTAAAATAAGGAAATAATCTTTCTTCTTGGTAAATTCCAACAAATACTATCAAGACCGTGCAGAGAAAAGTCGATAATAAGAAACAAAAATTGCAATATGTAAAAGTCATGGTCAGGTTTTCGAAAATGGCGGCTATATGTGTTCTTGAAAAACATTAAATGATAACAGCAAATATTGCAATATTAGCACTGGCACCGGTAAAAAAATGTTTTTTGCATTGAAGACATTGGGTTTATAAATTTCCAACAAATACTATCAGAGAGTGCCAGAAAGTCATACAGACGTTGATAACAGCAAATATTGCAATATGAGCACTGGTAAAACATTTTGGCTGAAGTGGATAAAGGCGACACATTAGTGGATAAGATCCAATGACAGGATCCAAAGAGTGTGAGTTCAATACCTGGTTAAGGCAGTAGAGAACATTCAGAGGGAAATTAACAGGAGATAAACATTAATTAAACAGTTCCGAGGCATATAACTTGTAATAAATATGGCGGCAAAGAATAATGTAAATAAGATACTATCAAGTTGAATTTATTTTTGAACTCAGAATTTGTTCTGTAAAATTGCTTTATCAATGCAAAAATATATCCAGACGTCAATCTCAGAGAAAGAATAATCATAAAACAAGTAATGCTAATTATAACTACAAACAATATTTCCGGATAGAAGAGAAGCGGATGAATAAAATATGCAAATTAATAAACAAATAATAAAAAATAACAAAAAAAGTAATGAATGAATACAAATAATAAGTAAAAAGCATTAATAACAATAAAAAATAAAATAATAAAAATAAATAGGTGAATAAATTATAACAATGAAAATAAATAATAAAAATAATAATGAAAATGATAAAAAACAAACAAGTGAATAAACAAAATAACATTAAAAATAAATGACAACAGCAAAAAATAAATAAAATGTATAAATAATAATAAAATAAATAAAATGATATAAATAAACGAAAATAAGTAATAAATAAAATAACAATCAAATTAAATAAATAAAAAATAGTAATAAAACAAAATAACAATAAAATAACTAAGTAAAAACAAACAAAAAATAAATAAAAAAGTATAAATAACAATAAAATAGTGATAAATAAATAAATAAAAATAAAAAAACAAAAAATTAAGATAAATAGATGAAAAAATAAAAATAATAATGAAAATATATACATGATAAAAATAACAATAAAAACAAATGTATAAACAAGTTAATAAATAAAAATAACGCTAAAAATAAATAAATCCTAGGCCCCACTCTATTCCTTATTTACATAAATGACCTTCCTGACGCCATAACTTCCCAAGTTGGCATCTACGCGGATGACACCACAATTTATTTCTGCCTCAAAAACAAATCTAGTCTCGCTGACAAAACTCACCTGGCCGTGCGTCTCGAAAAGGACCTCCAATCGATTGTGAACTGGGGCATGAATTGGCTGGTCAACTTCAACGCTTCTGAGACAAAACTGCTCTCTATTAATCACCACAGAGATCCTTCCCTGCCCTCCATTAGAATGTCTGACGCTCAACTTCTCGAGAGCAACTCTCTGCGGCTTCTCGGTCTCACGTTGTCTGCTGACCTGAGATGGAATAAATACATGGAGTCAATTGCCTCGTCCACGCAAGGAAAGTTGGCTCCCTGAGCCGCGCCAGGAAGTTTTTCTCCCCGGAATCGATCCTCCAGGTCTACAGATCAACAATTCGCCCTTGCATGGAGTATTGCTGCCATATATGGTCTGGTGCCCCTTCTGTTTGCCTCGGGGTTCTTGATAGGCTCCAGAGGCGGATATGCAATGTAGTTGGCCCTGCCCTGGCGTCTCGTCTACAGTCACTTTCTCACCGACGTGCCGTCGCCTCCCTCTGTCTGTTCTACAAATACTTTCATGGAAATTGCTCCGAGGAACTGCATTCGCTGGTTCCCAGACGTCATGAGTTCCAGCGCCTTACGAGGCTGGCATCCCGCTCTCACCCCTTCACTGTCGAAACTCCTAAATGTAGCCGTCTCTTCTACTCTAATAGCTTCATATCTCGCACCTCTCGCCTGTGGAACTCCCTTCCCTATTCCTGTTCCCCTGTGAGCTATAATCTCCAGCTATTCAAGTGTAATGTCAATCGACATCTCCAGTTGCCTTGATCTATCCACTACCCTCATCCTTTCTTCTATCACTCCTATCTGATCTTGCTCTAAATTTCTTGTAACCCCTTGCGTCCTAGTGACTTCCCGCCTTGCTTGGGGTGAAATGCTTAAAAAAAAAAAGAAAAGAAAAATAGACAAAAAAAAAAAAAAGCAATGAAAATACGTTAGGACTTTCGAGTGGGTCCAGTAACTATGCATTCCAAATTTGGTCGTACACAACGAATAATTCATAACTCACACATTGATCTGTCTTTCTTGCTGGCAACTATAAGCTTTTTTTTAAAATTACAGTTAATAGTTAGTCCTTTCTTCTCGCTTTCCATTACTATATTGTCCAGAAGTGCTTGCAGTTTCTCTTCTGAGTCTGCCATCAATGAAGTGTCATCTCTGTATCTTTCGTTTTAAGATTATGTCCACCAATAATAAATCCTGGTAGGACTTCTAGTTCAATAAATCCGATGAGAAGACGCCTCACGATGCAAATGTTCACTGGACTGTCTGCCAACTACCACTGTATAGCCCAAAATGTGGCACTTTCTGGCTTTCATCTTTTTCGGGCCGATGAAACTGTCATCGCTGGTGAAAGGGTGGGTATGTGAAAAAATGGAAAAATAGCTAAAAACTTGCTTTGTCCAACGGTTGGTCAGTTGGTCAAGTCATCTCGCACGAAGTGCTATCCAGATTTCAAGGGAATTTTATCAGTATCTCAATTTAAATCAGTCTATTTCTGAGATGAGGTATTGTAACTATTTACATTGTTCGTACTGTTGTCCTCGTCTTTATTGTCACATTCACAACGTTTCGGCTGTTGTACGCTCCAGTCTTCTTCAGGTGATATTTGTTTGAATTTCGAAACGTACCCAGAATAGTCAGTCTGTATGTTGGCGTTTCTTATGATTAGTTTCAGAAAATAAACATATGAAGAACGTCTACACAAACGTTATCTTCAGAAACACCAACATACAGATCGGCTATTCTGGGTTCGGTTCGAAATTCAAGCAAATATCACCTGAAGAAGACCGGAACATACACCAGCCGAAACGTTGTGAATGTGTCAATAAAGAAGAGGGCAAAAGTCCGAACAATGTAAATAGTGTAAATAGTCCCAGTTTAATGTTATATAGAAATCTGCCGATATTTGTGAAAAGTGAGATTTGTGAAATGCGAAAACATAAACAAAAATGTCTGCTTCGAAAGACACGGTGGTAGCTAGGGTTTCGGTGTAGTAACTTTTTTTTTAATTTCCTCGAAATTTGAGTTTGAGTTTGGGTTGGGAATAACAAGTTTCATCTTTAGAAATAAATTTACGTCCCGGATCATACAACAAATCTGTCCTCACAAAGCTATGGTTGTTACTGTATGGGATATTTAGCAACAATAGTGATAAAAAAAGCTATAGAAAGCTGAATTAAATCATATATCTATCTATCTCAGTCTGTTCAAGACTATCTATCTATCTTTCTATCTATCTATCTCAGTCTATTCAAATCTATCTATCTCTGTTCAAATCTATCTATATATATCTATCTTTGTTCAAATCTATCTATCTATCTATCTATCTATCTATCTATCTATCTATGTCTGTTCAAATCTATCTGTATATCTATCTATGTTCAAGTCTATCTATCTATCTATCTATATCTATCTATCTAAGTCTGTTCAAATCTATCTGTATATCTATCTATGTTCAAGTCTATCTATCTATCTATCTATCTATCTATCTATCTATCTAAGTCTGTTCAAATCTATCTGTATATCTATCTATGTTCAATCTATCTATCTATCTATCTATCTATCTAATCTATCTATCTATCTAAGTCTGTTCAAATCTATCTATATATCTATCATCTATCTATATTATCTATCTATCTATCTGTTCAAATCTATCTATATCTATCTATCTATCTATCTATCTATCTATCTATCTATCTATCTATCTATCTATCTAAGTCTGTTCAAATCTATCTGTATATCTATCTATGTTCAAGTCTATCTATCTATCTATCTATCTATCTATCTATCTACCAAAAAGTTTGGGGCCACTCATTGGATTTAATAATTAGTATGTTTCATGCATTTTTTGGTTTAACTGACCCCCACTAAGCTCCGATGTAGAAACTCTTTAGCCCATAAGAGCAAGGCGTCCAAATTTTTAAGGAGTGCTTACCAAAAATTTTAAAACATCAGCCTCAAGATTACAATTAGCCAGCAAAGATAGATGTTAAAAAAGTGCTAAACTTTTAAGGAAACTTTATGCAGTAATGGCTTAATTTTTTTTATCGCTATTATTATTGTATGTATGATAAAACTCTTCAGCAAGAGAACACCCATCTAGCCTGTATTTAACCTACACGGCAAGATGATCCCAACAGAATTAGATCTACCAGGGTTTATTATCGCTAAACATGTTTTTGACAGCAAGATATGCACATGACAGAAGGAAAACTGTAAGAACTCCTAGAAAAGTAGTAAAGGAAAATGTGAAGAAAGGACTAACTATTAACTGCAAGAAGACAGAACGTGTGGTCGTCAAAAAGGAAATAACCCAAGGTATGAGCTATGAACTGGAAATATCAAAATCAAGCAAGTACAGAATTTTAACTCTGGGTGGGGTAATAACAAAAGACGGGAAAATGTGATAGAAAAATCCAAAGAAATAGCAAAATATGCCTTTCAGAAACTAAGCAAAATATGCCTTTCAGACGCTAAGCAAAATATTAAAAGATTAGAAAAATAAAAGAGTGTTGAACCATATCTATCCTCCTAAACAGAAATGAATGCTAGGCAATTTATTTGCACATGAATAAAAAACTCGAAGCGGAAGACATAAGGTTCTACGGGCCGATGCTGAGAATACCATGGACGGAACATGTTTGCAACGAGGAAGTCTTAATGAAAATAGGAAGAAAAAATAAAATTATACATACAGTAAGAAAGTAACAGTCGAACTTTCTGGAGCAATGAATGAGGAAAGAGGGTTTAGAGAATTTATCACTCACATGTGATGCAAGTTGGGCAAAAGAAAACAAGGATTAAACCACTGAACGAGTGTGTGTAAATTGATAGCAGAACAGGGACCGAGAAAGATTGTAAAGGGACAAACGCTGTTTAGAGTTACAAAGCTGGAAGCTGTGGGGAGCCATGACCACCAAAGTTCTGAAGGAACACGGCACATGAAAAAAAAAAGATCCATGTTCTTCAAAATGCTGTTCGGCTTGTCGGAAAGGAGAGTAAATTATACCATTATTAGTGGAATGGTTCCTTTATTTCTTTATCGCCAACATCGTAGACTAACAATGAAAAAGGTGGCAATATTTTGGGGGTGACCTTCGTCTTATATATGTGTTGTGTTATATATCGGAGACCATTTTGCTATGTGATACATTTTGACGTACACTCATGTGGCATGGATTACATATAGTTTCACTTGTTGGCAGGTTAACCTGCAGAATAGAGTAGTGATTGTATATCCTATGTACGAATTTTAGAAATCCAATTTCCCAGTGTGTATGTGATTTCGTAGATGGCAGTGATTTCGTTTTCTTTTCTTTTTTAGTGATGACGAGCTTTGATGGATTTTTATTTTTGTAATAAATTGTTAATCTTATATTTTTAAAAAGTTTAAATAGAAATGTATTTTGTATGGCACAGGAAATGGGCAATCATGACTCTCCACAACTTCCTATCCTTTGTAGCACTTAGTAATGTTTGCCCTTTTTCCATAACTCCGATCCTCCGTTCTGCAATCAATTCGTATAAACTCACCGCCATATCCTTTTTTCCCTTCAATATATCGTATGAACGTTAAATATTATTTTTATTTGTTTGTCGACGGCAGATTTGTTGTTTTCAAAACGACTGTTTAATTTTAAGTGAGTTGGAAAATAGTAACTGCGAAAAGTTATATCCTGTTGATAAAAAATTTCATAAGTACGTTTTTTTTAATACCTTTGGTTATATAATTATGGTGACCGGAGTCTGAAATTGTTTTTTTATATATATATATATATATATATATATATATATATATATATATATATATATATATATATATACGGTGATTGTGAAGATGTGACTGTCAAGTAAGTCCTGCACGAAGTGGATTGTAGTTTAGATATAAAGTTCATTGGTGAAAAGGAAGTTTGAACTCTTCTCGGAGTTAAAGTTTTTTCTTCCTAGAAGTTATATGAAAAGGCGCTTGCGTTATATTCTCAATAATTTTACTGATATTACTTGAGGAATATAACTGATATTTTATATTTTTTTGAGTAATTAAGAATTTAGGAAAATATTTTCCGTAATCCAATATTTATTAAATTTTATATTTGACTTTAATATATATAGTATATATATATATATATGTATATAGATGTATATGTATATATATATATATATCATATATGTCATATATGTATATGTATATATATATATATATATATATATATATATATATATATATATATATATATATATATATATATATATATATATGTATATATATATATATATATATATATATATATATATATATATATATATCTTCAGGTACTTTTCAGTGATCCTTAATGAAACCTGTATAATGGAGGCGTTGCTACCCCAATACAAACATATATATATATATATATATATATATATATATATATATATATATATATATGTGTGTGTGTGTGTGTGTGTGTGTGTGCGTGCGTGTGTGTGTGTGTGTGTGTGTGTGTGTGTTTATTTTGGCAGCAAATTCATTTCCTTGAATATTTGATTGAAGATCACTGAAATATATCCTGTAAGATTTTATTTTTATTTTTGATGATTTAAGATTGTAGATGTTTACCCTGCTATAATTTCTAAGAGCAGTTTCAGCCATTTTGGTAATTTATAAAGAGGCCCACCGCACTTTATTCAAACATGATAAAAAATGATTCTATATATAACTATAAACTAACAAAATAAGACGCCCATGAATGCGCAAACACATATTCTTGTTGAAAACAACTTTACCCACCTGAAGATGGGCAAAGTGACAGAAAGTATTTGGAGAAATAATATTTGAATATGAATCTGTAAGCTAAAATATCGCCAGAAAAATTAAATAAGATTCTCAAACGAAATACATACTATAGGTCATATCGAGGACTATCCTTCTTCGAACATTGTGAACTCGTGCTACACAATCACAAATCACTGTACCAAATAAAAAAAAAACTACGTCACTTGAAGACTTTCAACAGCGGCAACAACTAAAATGGATGGCACACGTAATTCGAAGAGAAATAATGACATTATCAAAATATTAGCATTCCACACTACTTCAAACAATAGTTTAGAAAGCCCCCATCAATACTGGAAAGAGCGATGACTTTAAAAACCTATTTTCCTGAAATATTGTTTTATAAATTTCAACCGACATTACCTCTGGCAATTAGGTCAGTGAATGCCAAATGTTTCTTTATAAGGAAACAGACTAATATTACTTTTACCA